CCGGCCACTCCGACTGAAATTAGACGGTCGTAGCTTTGCCTACGCTTAGGCGTCCGCCTAAGATGCCTAGGATGCTTAGGATGTTTTTAAGAACATTGATATTATAATACTCAATGAATAATCTCTTTTTCCAAGAAACAGTCATCATTGTCTCAACTATCAACTTTGAGGTCAAACAGTTTAACGATAAAGGCCATTTTGGAATGTAGTAAAGGAGAGCAAGATCATTATGGGCTACATAAGTTTTTTGATGGAATGTAGTATAAGCAATCTTGCTCAGCTTAAAGGTATGGATAAAACTGTACCTTTTTGATTTATGAGATGATGCATAATTAATCCTCTACCATCAATCTCGTAGGACCTTATGACCAAAGACTCTTAACAAATTGTTTCGTGATATGTGTTGGCTAACAACCCTAGCGATCAAGCCCATAATAGGGAGAAAATCTTAGAGAGACTCCAGAAAAGAAGTAAGATAAAGATGTTGAGCCATGACCCTTTCACCATAACATTGGAGGGGGTGAGGTCAAAGTGCGACCCTTGAGGTCTTGTAATACAAAAGATCTCAAAGATACTAAGCTGGTAATGTGACAGGTCAATATATTACAATCCCACTTTTACAATGAAAACATCACCACATTCATTCAAAGCTACCCATTAAAACACAAGCTAGTAGGGTAAAAATATCTTCAGCTTTGATTCAATCACAACGAGATACTCAAGTATTGCAAAATAATCACCATGAATGTAAAAAAGTGCCTCCTCAAAGAGCGGAAATACGTGCAAACAAACCCTAAATTTTTTTGCTTAACTATGTTGTTTTAAAAGCAATGTAAGCCTGTCTGGGCCTAAGCAGTAATTGAGCTGCTTGCGCAAGTGTTGAAAGCACATGTTGAGAGCGCGTAAGTAAGCATTAGCTACTTATGCAAGCTTTACCACTAAAAAATAAGCATGCTACCCATTTAAGGAATAGTACAATGAAGAGAACATGTTCGTCAAATCGGTGCGGATCAAAACTCGATATGCAAATCTATTTTAGATAAAACACCAATGATAACATTTTAAATCTTGTAAAAATTCTTCTCTATCGATGTCTCCCATTAACCTTCCTCTTTTACCCCTAGGGCTGTAAATCTCGCACCTTCAATTATGGTATTAAAAATTGCCTTAAAACATCTAGGTGTTGCTTAAGCTTCCTCCTAGTGCCCTAGGCATTGGACACCATGTCGAGTGTTTAAACAATACTTTGCGTTTTCTAAATCATTCTTATCCACTCCAAAGGTTGGCTTAAGCACGAGACAATGTCTACTAATAGCAACCTCGTGATATCACATTTTTATCTGTCTTTTCATTTATGAGGGAGCGATTGATTACGCAGGAGAGATTGCACGTGAACTCTTTGATGAAATTTGCTAATGGATTGTCTTCTCAACAAGACAGAAGATGCAAAAGCTACAATTTAGTTGGTGTTGCAAATGTTGTCTCCCATTCATATTTTTGTGATTTGCGCCTTAGCTTCTTGTGCTTCCATGTGTGTTTATTATATTTGATACAATGTCTACATGTGTGACTGCTTTCCTTTTGTATTTGAATGATAAAACATGCTATGCAAAAACTTATTTACATGAAAGACAAAGAGAAAGCATTAATAAAAACAAAAAACAAAAGGAAAAAGAAAAAAAGAAAGAGTGCAATGGACTTACCATTCTAGAGTACCTTACAAATATGACAAGCTATGAATGAGGTATTGATTGCCGTGAACTTGAATTGCATGAAATATACAAAAGCACTGAGGAATGGAACATATCATTGGGTTTTGAAGTATTGTTTTCCTGAACATGATGAATGTTTTTGCTTCACTAAAAATGTTTCTATGAAGTAACAAGAAGGCACACTATAATAACCCAATAAGAAAAGAAAAAAACAATTTGAGATATTTGAAATTGTTTGTTGACACGTACAAAGTAAGGGAAAACCTCTGAAATGATTTCAATATTGAACCTTGGACATATGATAGTTTCGAATCAAATCTCTACGCATTTCACCGCTCCATCGAACATTCCCTCTGTCCTACCATACTCTAGCTTGGTAGTTTCCACCGCATGTCCAGGGTTGAGCCCTGGGATTTGACGACGGACCACCTAAATGGGATACATCAAACTCGCATGTCCAGTAACTTATGTGTGGTATTTGAGATGTCTTTCGACATCTAGAATGTCTTCTAATCTAGATGAATTTTCTAATCCTAAACAGGTTTTTAAAATTATTTTGAAAGATGTTGAGACACGCCCTTTTTACCATCACTTTGAAGGGGTGAGGTCAAAGTATGACCCCTAAGTCATAATACAGAAGATTTACAAGATATTGAGCTACTAATGTGGCATGTGAACGATATATGACAACCACAATTTCACATGAAAACATCACCACATGCATTCAAAGCTGGCTAATACAAAACAAGCTAGCGGTGCAAAAATATCTTCATCTTTGATTCAATCATAACGAGATACTCAGATATTGCAAAAATAATCCTGAGGAACATATAAAGCGCCTCCTCGATGATTGAAAATACATGCAACTAAATCTTGAAATTTCTTTCCTTATATGTATTGTTTAATGTGGCCCCACTCAGGCCTAAGTAGTTTCAAGTTGCTCGCACAAGTATTGGAAGTGCCTAAGTAAGCGTTAGCTACTTACGCATGCTTTGCCACTAAAAAATAGGTACTATATCCATCTAAGCATAATACAATGAAGAGAATTTTGGTCAAATTGATGTGGATCAAAACTTGATATAAATCTATTTTAGATAAAACACCAATGATAACATTTTAAATCTTTGTAAAATTCTTCCTCTGTCAATGTCACCTGTTAGTCTTCCTCTTTTCCCCTAGAGCTGTAAATGCCTCTAATTACGGCATAACAATCACTTTAAAACACATATGTGCTACTTAAGTTTCCTCTTAGGACCCTCCGCATTGGGCGCCATGTTGAGCGTCTAAAAATGCTTTGTGTTTTCTAAATGATACTTATCCACTCCAAAGGTTGGGTTAAGCACCAGACAGCCAATACTAAATAGTAACCCATGATATCACCTTCTCATCTACGTGGAAGCAGTTGATTGCGCGGGGAAGATTTCATGTGAACTCTTTGATGAAAATTGCTAATAGATTTTCTTTTGAACCAGACAGAAGATGCAAAGCCTACAATTTAGTGGGTGTCACAAATGTTGTCTCCCTTTCATATTCTTGTGATTGGCACCATAGCTCCTTGTGTTTCCAAATGTGTCTTGTATCTGTTACAATACCTTCCCACACGTGTGACCATTTTCCTTTCATTCTTAAATGATAAAACAAACTATGAAAAAACTTGATTACAGAAAGAGAAAGCACAAGGAAAAAACAAAAAATAAAAGGAGAAGAGGAGAAAGGAGTGCAATGAACTTACCATTCTAGAGTACCTTACAAATATGACAAACTATGAATGAGCTATTGCCTTATCCATTTACATTAGAAACTAGATCCGCATGTTACATATGTAAAGTATCCAGAAAACTGAGTGGCATTATTGTTGTGGCCTTGAATTGCATGAAATATACAAAAGCACCAAGTGGTGGAACATATCATTGGGTTTTGAAGTATTGTTTTTCTATTGAACATGATGGACAGTTTGCTTCCCTAGAAAAGGTTTCTGTGAAGTAACAAGAAGGCAAACTATAACAACCCAATAAGAAAAGAAAACTCCAACCTCACTACAATAGGTTTTTAAGGTATTTATCTTCACCAATTTAAGATGAATATGTATTCTCATAAATTAACACTGGGCGAAAACTAGTCATCCTAGATGGTAAAGATTTGTATGGGATATTCCATCCAGGATGTCTGCTAACCCAGTTGGATTTTCTAATCCTAGGCAGTTTTTTATAATTATTTTTCAAATCAAAAGTGGTCCCCCTGCCCAAGAGAGTCACTGCTCCAGTGTCTGTCACGTATCAATCAATGAAGTGCAAGTGTTTGTGTCAGACGTGTTAGAGACAATCTGCTTCCTGCCTTTGCATATATGTAGACACTTGACATTGACCTTGAAGGTACAGAAATTTGCTTGATATTGAGCATCCTATTGTTGATGGCGGATACCTTGCATACTTATATTTGAAGTTGAGCACCTTTCTCAATTCTCAGTAATTTAACCTTGATCTAAGAGAGTGTCACTGCTCCAGTATCTGTCACGTGTCAAGCAATGACGTGCAAGTGTTGGCGTCAGACATGTCTTAGAGACAATCTACATCCTGCCTTTACATATATGTAGACACCTGTCATTGACCTTGAAGGTACAGAAACTTAACTTGATATTGAGAATCCTATTGTTGATGGTGGATACCTTGCATACTTATATTTGACGTTGATCACCTTTCTCAATTCTCAGTAATTTAACCTTGATCTAAGAGAGTGTGATTCTCCAGTATTCACATTCTGAAATGGATTAATCTTTTCTCCCTTCTTATGTTTTAGTCAATCCAAAGGACTGTGTGTCTTGAGCACTTTTACTATTAAAAAATGTTATGATGCTCTTCTTTTCTCTTAACCTTTTACACAGTTTTACCTATTCGGGAAAATATATCTTCTGCTTATTTTCCTTTTGTACTATTCATTAGTCAATTTCCATATTTCATTCATCTAGATGCTGTTGGTCATCCTTTTTGTTGGTCTCTCGTCGCATATGATTCTCTTAAAATTATTAGTGGACATTGTATCATAGTAATCAGTTCCAATTTGCTTTTTGCCTTTAGTCAATATCTCAACCATACATTTCACGTAGACCGTAGAATGATGATGAAATGTTAGATCTTTTAACTATAACCCGTGTTTATCTAACCGATCTAGTTTCTCGGGTTGTTTATTCATTTCATTTATTATCAGTCAAATGTCATATTGACCGAAACACTGTCCATACCTTTTGAAATGGTTTATGATTTGACATTTTTCATTTAGCTCTATGGGTGCTTATATTTTATCAGTGAAGTTAATGATACCCTGTTGATTTTGTTTCTCAGACAATTCCTCTACAGTTGGCTAAGAAATGCAATCTTTATGAAAAGGACGAAATCATCCTTCGTGATCCTCATGGTACTTCATGGCCTGTGAGATTATCCACCTGGCGTGATGGGCGTCTGTGCTTGTCATCTGGTTGGTCCAATATATACGGAAAGAACAGGTTAAAGGAAGGAGATGTCTGTGTTTTGGAGTTTGTTCAAGGATGTAGTGCAATAAATGTTCACTTTTTTCGAGCTGAGGAGTATAATGCAATATCAATACCAGTATCACGTAAGCAATTTCACAAAATTTCAGTTTCCTGATTTTTCAGTAAGTGATAATATTTTACTTGCATAATGTTAATTAAATAACTTGTTATTACTCTTACAATTATTGATTTAAATGCAGATATCATTCCGTTGTGATAGAAATCATTGAGAGTTGGAGTCTAATTACTTCCATAATATGATCAGTCCTATTTGGTGCTGGATTGTGACTTAAAGAAAACAAAATCAAGTAAAGAAATAATAATTATGAATCTTATGCCTTTCATATTAAGGATTTTTCAGGGACTTGATTCTAAGTGGATAGCTTAATATGTTTCAAGCATACTAAATAAGGAGTTCAGATTTGTAAACTTTACTGTAGACATCATGGGTGTACCTTATTTGAATGTAGTAAGTAGCGTACTAGGTAATATATTTTTTGGGGATCATAGCAGTGGTTAACATTTTGGGTCAAACGTGCCTGTAGCTTTAACATCAAGGCCTAGTTCGAGAACTCCTTATTTTGGATTCTGTTACAACGCTCATTAGCTTTTCTCAATTTTCTGTTGGTATCATCTAAAGAAAAACATGAATCTTTTAAAGTACCTCGATAATTTTCATTTATGAATATGTACTGTTTGATGTCCCTTTACCTGTAAAATTTGGTTAGCTTATGTTGTTATTATTCAGATAACAACTATTCCGATTGTTTTCTCACTGTATCTCATTGCTTAACAACCCGTGCTTTTGAAGTGTCAAAAAGCAGCAGATTCGTATTACACCAAAAAAATTATCTACTCAGATAATATTTAAAGCAGGCTATGACACATATATCTTTTTTAGAAAAGTCACTATGTCTTGTTTCATGTTCTTGACTTTCTTAGTGTCACTGATGCAGATGAAAGACCTGGAGATATTAAGGAAAGTGTTTCAAGACCATTGACTGCAGATTATAAGGAAAGTGTTGCAAATGCACCCGAATCCTCTGAATCAAGTCGTCCAAAGTTCACCATACTTTGGAATTCAAATCATTTGTATCATGTGGTGCGTTTCAATTTTTTTACTTTTATTTTAACCTCCTTGCATCTATGAAGCACGGACACACATAACATGAAGCCGTGTCGTGTCGTGTCCATGTCGGACACACGTGTCGAACACACATATCCTATGTATTTTTTAGGATTTGCCTCGTGTCGGCGTGTCGGATGGCCGTGTCGGATCCGTGTCCGTGCTACATAGCCTTGCATTATCAATCATGGATATTATTGGGCAGTACAAAACACTATACTTTACATTTTAAGCTATGAAAGAAATTAGAAATTACGTTGTTATTCTAGCTCAAATCACCTTTTTTGTGTGATCAATCCATAAAATTCATTACATAAACAAAGGAAAAACAATCAGAGAGAGTGTGGTGCACGTACACAGCTACGCTTCTACCATGAATCCTATCTTTAAATGGCAATAATCGAACATAATACTTCTTGGATACACCTTAAAAACTTTTAGTACTTGTGCTCTGAATTAAGGTCACATATCTAACATATTTTTCTCAGTTTAATAAAATATACTTAATAAATTTTCCTAGTAATTATCTGTACAACTAGTACTCGTTGGTAATCATGTCACATTTCTGTTCGTGATAGTTTTTACATACTACAACAGTTGTCTTATGCTAGACCACTGTTATAAATAGCGGTAAATAGCCCCACAATAGCGGTGCTAATAGCTTCCCGCTACACTACGCTGTCACCTAATAATGATAACATATTGCAGAATATGCGTTTTTCGTTTGCAAAAGCGGCCAATAGCGCACCACAGCAGTGAGTAGCGGGCAAGTGTGGGCAAAATTCGCTTTTTTATCGCTATTTAAAAGTGGTTTGAGATTTATTTTTTTAAAGTTATACCCAACCCGCAACAACTACATCCCACCGCCTCCCTCGCTTTCCGGCGTACTCCCACCGCCTCCCATAGCCTCTGGCACTTCCCCCCAGCACTTACTCTCACCTCCTCTCGCCATGAGCTCCTCCTAGTGCAGTCCTCTCAGCGCTTAGCTCATCTTCTCGAAGATGACAACTCTTTGACTTCTCCGGTTGTCTTCGGTATTATGTGATGATTACATGTCTATTTCATGTTTAGGATCTCTTTAAATCATCAAATGCAATTTTAGATTTTCTGAACTTTTTTTTATAATTTTTCTTTTTTTAATATTTATATATTATCTAAATTAGGCTGCTATTTTGCCGTAATAGCCTCAACTAATCTTAGCGATGCCTCACCGCTACACAACACTATCCGCTATCGATAACCTTGTGATAGACCTACTTTGACATGTTAGGACAAATATCGAGTAGAGTTATAGTCTAAAACTATTAAATGTGATCCAAATTTGACATGGTTAAAATTGTGAAAGTGCAAGATTTTGGTTCATATTAATAAAATAGAATTAGAGGAACAAAGTCGTCTTGAAATTTACAGATATATCAGTTGTTTTCTATAAAAAAATGCAACCTTGCCATGTGTAGAATAACTAGTGAAATTCTACTCTCAAAATATCGTAAAATCTGTTCATATTCTAATCTTGAAGGAGCTGACAGCGCACATGCAATTAGAGCATAAATAGTGATATGATAATGACCAAGTTAATAAGAATTTTTAGCCAATCTTTATCCTTCTTACTTAGTGGATGTCATATATCACTTAAGTTACGTGCTATTTACCAAATCTATTGTTCTTCTTTATATGGGAAGTTTAATTGACATGATGGAGACTTTTTTTAATTTACATAATTTCTGTCAAATTTTTCTTCTTTTTGTATTTTTTATACTTGTTAACATTCTCTGACTCCTACTCCAGCGAATTCCAAAGAAAGTTGCAAAGGAAGCTCGCCTGAGCAGCTGTCAAAATACTACTATAATTGATCCTTCCGGGAAATCGTGGGCTGTGGACATCATTCTCCGCTCTTATGGCCAATTAGAGCTTGGGATTGGGTTGTCCTCTTTCTCAAGAGGAAATAACTTGGCTGAGGGTGACAAATGTGAATTTGAAATTTTCGCAGGAGACTACATAAGAGTACACATTATTCGCGCTGGAGAAACTAACAACTCCGGCACTGATGATTAATGTTGATGACTTGATGGTGGAAAATACATGAGTTGCAGTTAACGTATCAAATTGAACTTGAGAGTTTTCAGATATCTATCTAGTTTTATGAGCCCACGGGCTAATTTGTTGTTTTATGATAATAAACGTTATGTATTTGTCCTCAGATATACTGAAGCCTCCAAATTTAATAGCTCGTTGGTAGAGCTTAGAAGGAGCACTTTTTGTTGGTCAAAAGCATTTGAAGCGCAAGCTGATACTGTGTATGATTTATTTTTTTAAGGAATGAATGAAATGTTTTAAAAGGAGTTTTTGTTGGTCAGGAGCATGTGAAACGCAAGCTGATAACCGTGTATGATTTATTTTTTAAGGAGTGAATAAAATATTGGGAAAAGAAATTGATGAACCATAGTATTTCATATACTTCTGATGTTATTTCGTTTTATTCTGATATTTTTCACATGTTGAATTGTTCTGAAACCTTCTGTTATTCTTGGTTATTCACATACGCATCTTAGTTGAGAAGTGAAATCCTATCTTATTCAATGTATTTTTGTGGGTTTTAGTGAGTGAAAGACTTTCCTGTTTAGAGCATGTTTGGGAACTTTAGATTATAAAAGGATTAATCCATGTGGATTATGATCCTAAATGTTTGGTAACTGTAGTGGATTATGATCCTTTTTTTGTGGTTGAGTGTTTGGCGGATTATAATTCATTCTTATCAAAATGGCCAAAAAGGACATGAGGCTAGTGGTGAATTATTAAACAAGTATTCGGATTTAGTGAAATCACGAAGGACATAATTGTCTTTTACTAGGTCAAGCCTCATGGCTTGTAATCCACAAAAAATAAGCTAGGATACCCTAGCTTGTTTTTTCGCTAGATTACATGCCAAAAATACCATTTGGTTAACATCTCAAAGTGGCTCGTAGACAATTTGCTAAACATGCTCTTAGTGTATTTTTTATAGGACAAGATACGATCGAATTACATTACATATGTTTAGTTTTTTCTGTCTACTTTTTCAAATTTGCTATAGCTCTACTTTGTATTGATGTCTTTTATTGAGAAGTGCATTGCTTCAACAATATCAGCGCAACCCGTTTGGTTGGTTTTCTAGCATTCAAAGAAAACAAAAATAGGGTGAAGAAGCAACTTTTGATGATTTCCTTCCTTTTACTCAAATATAAAATGGGTTTTCTAGACTTTAGGTTAAAAAATAACGTCAAGTTGGAGGAATGGATGAGCAAGTGGGATATGAAAAATAGTGGTGGTCAATAAGGTAGTTATGAAGAATATGAGATGAATGGAGTTAAAATGGTACGCTTTTGCATTTTTCATGTTGGGCGCAGAGTCACGCCCACCTACCAATTGTTGGGCGCAGAGTCACGCCCACCGCCGCGGAAGCGATATCACCTGAGAGAGAGCACTGGCTTTTGTTTTCACAAAAGTACAGGTCAAACTCGATATCTGTGTTTCGCGAAGGAAACCCATACTCAGTAGCGAAATATCTCAGCGAAGTGAGATATCCACTCTTCCTCTCATCAGTGCAAGGACTGAACTATCGAGGGCACCTGCAAGTAAAACAAATAGTTATGATAATACAAAAGACGAGATTTACGTGGTTCGGCAACTTGCTTACGTCCACGGGAGGGGGGTTTCACTATGAGGAGAATACCAAACTATTACAAGTTCTCTCTCAACTCACTCTTTCTTTTCTCTCAAAAGAACTCCAATACAAACCCACTTAGTATTTTTCCCCACTAATTTCCCCACACCAATAACTCCTCCACTCCTTCTCTATTTATAGGAAACCAAGGGGAGGGGGAGCCGAAGAATTGGCGGGAGCTCGCGGCGGGAAATAGAACGCGTGCGGGAAAGAGAAAAAAAATCGCGCGGAGCTCGATGCGTGACGTGGGCGGGCGGCCCTGCTTTCGTGCGCGCGCACGAAAGCAGACGGTGCTTTAGTGCGCGGGCACGAAAGCGGGCGGGGTTCACAATTCTCCACCTCGTACATCATTTGATAAACGTTAAATTTTGGACGAACACCAGAAGAACCCCACGAACTCCACCAGAGAGATATCCAGGCCAAACCAGGCCAAATCAGCATCACTATACCGCGACTGCCTACATACCCTCCACCGGGATCAAACTAACCATAGTTCTGCTACTATACTCCAACATAGTTTCCACCTCACCTCTATCACTGCCCCGCAGGACCATGCCCTCTTGGGCAACTCAACACGGGCTGATATGAAGTAAGTCCAAGCAATTCTTAAACTTGCTACCTGTGACCACCTTGGTTAACATGTTCGCGGGATTCTCATTCGTATGCACCTTCATGAGAGAAATAGCACCTTCCTCTATGACATCCCTCACAAAATGATACCTGACGTCGATATGCTTAGTACGAGCATGGTGAACTTGATTTTTCGCCAAGTGAATCGCACTCTGACTATCGCACCACAAGTTCACGCTTTCCTGCTCGATCCCCAAATCGTCTAGGAGACCCCACAGCACAATGCTTCCTTCACTCCCTCCGCCATAGCCATGTACTCGGCCTCTGTTGTAGAAAGTACCACTGTAGCCTGCAACATCGATCGCCAACTAACTGGAGCTCCATGTATCCTGAATACATAACTAGTAGTAGATCGCCGTCTATCTAGATCGCCTGCATAATCTGAGTCCACGTACCCGTCGATCTGACATGTATCACCACCAAAACACAGACCCGTATCCGCGGTACCTTTCAAGTACCTCAGGACCCATTTCACCGCTTCCCAGTGCGTCTTTCCCGGATTCGCCATGAATCTACTGATCACACTAACCGCCTGTGAAATATCAGGGTGTGTACACACTATTGCATACATCAAACTGTTAACTGCACTAGCATAGGGAACATGCTCCATGTGTGCCTTATCTTTCACTGTAGTAGGAGATTGTTTACCTGAGAGCCTAAAGTGTGGAGCCAATGGGGTCACCACTGACTTTGCACTTTGCATCCCGAACCTCGCGATCACCCGCTCTATGTAGCTCTTCTGACTCAAGAACAATCGCCGATTCGCCCGCTCTCTTCTAATCTCCATACCCAGTATTTTCCTAGCAGCGCCCATGTCCTTCATCTCGAACTCATTGCTAAGTTGAGATTTCAGTTTATCTATCTCCACCTTGTTTTTCGATGCAATAAGCATGTCATCCACATACAACAGGAGATAGATATAATCACCTCCACGAAGCTTCCGAATGTAAACACAACAATCATAGTCGCTTCGGGAAAACCCATGCTTCAGCATGAAGGAGTCAAATCGCTTGTACCACTGTCGCGGAGATTGCTTCAATCCGTAAAGTGACTTCCTTAAGCGACATACATGATTCTCCTTGTCCTCAACCTTGTATCCCTCAGGTTGATGCATATAGATCTCTTCATCCAAGTCTCCGTGCAAGAAGGCCGTCTTGATATCGAGGTATTCCAGCTCAAGATCACCATGAGCAACAATACTCAATAGCACCCGAATAGAGGTGTGTTTCATCACCGGAGAAAATATCTCATTGTAATCCACACCCTCTCTTTGTGCAAACCCCTTAGCCACTAGCCTCGCCTTGTACCTTATACCACCGAGCTCTGAAGGATCTTTCTTTCTTTTATACAGCCACTTACAACCTATAGCTTTCTTTCCTTCGGGCAATGGGACCATCTCCCATGTTTGGTTCTTCCAAAGAGATTCCATCTCCTCCTCCATCGCAGCCAACCAACTCTCGCTATCCTTGTCTCGAATAGCTTCCTTGAAGGAGACCGGCTCATCTTCCTCCACCGAGAATGTGTACTCAACCAAATTAACATGCCCATAGTACTTCAGGGGTTGATCAGCCCCCAGCTTCTGTACCTGCTTGTATACTCGTCTTGACCTAGTGGAAGCCAAGCTATCCTCGAGCTGTTGTTGTTGTAGTCTCCTCCTGCTCAAGCTCATCATCTACCTGATTTCCCACTTGAACACGACTAGAACCTGGTTGGTCTTTAGGTTCTATCTCAATAACCTGGGACTTGGAAGTCCCAACAGTCTTAACACCACCATCCTTGGGCACCTTAACAATCATGGACTTCTCATCAAAAGTAACGTCCCTGCTGATCATGAACTTCGAATCTTCTGTACACCAAAGGCGGTAGCCTTTTACGCTCTTTGCATACCCCAAGAAAATTACCTTCTTGGCCCTCACGTCAAGCTTTCCCTTGTTGATGTGATAGTAGGCGGTACACCCAAAAATCCGGAGCCTCTCATAATCTGCATGCTCCCCTGACCACACCCGATAGGATGTATCACTGTCTAATGTCGAATGTGGAGATCGATTCACAATATAGCAAACTGTAGCAATCGACTCTGCCCACCATTCTTTGCCCAAACCAGCATAAGATCGCATACTCACTGCTTTCTCCCGCAGTGTTCGGTTCAGTCTCTCCGCGACCCCATTTTGCTGTGGTGTAGATCTAACTGTCCAGTGTCTGGCAATGCCCTCCTGATCACAGAACTCCTTGAAGACACCATCTGTGTACTCTGTACCGTTGTCAGATCTCAGTGTCTTCAATTTCTTCCCTGTCCTGCTCTCAACCATCGCCTTCCACTTCTTGAATGTCTCAAATACCTCATTCTTATGCTTCAGAAAATAAATCCATGCATACCTAGAATGATCATCTATGAATGAGACAAAATATCTGGAACCACCCTTGGAAGTTGTCGAAGCCGGACCCCAAACATCCGTGTGCACATAATCTAGTATCCCTCTGCTCTTGTGATTGCTCCTTAGAAACCGGACCCTGTGAGCCTTTTCATACACACAATCCTCGCAAAAATTCATACAAGGTTTCTTTAGATTCTTTAGCAAACCCTCTTTACCAAGCAGATCCAAACCCTTCTCTGACATATGCCCAAGCCGCCTATGCCATAACCGTGTGTGCTCACATTGGTCTCCACCACTTCCTTCAGCTTCAACTGCTGCATCTCCCATCACTGTCGTACCCGAGAGAGTATATAGATTACCGTGATGAACACCCTTCATCACTGTTAAGGAACCCCGAACAACCCTCTTCACTCCGTTCTCTGTTACGATCTTGCAACCCCCGGAGTCCAAAGCACCAACTGAGATTAGATTCTTCCGCAAGTCGGGAACGTGCCTTACATCCGTCAAGGTTCGAACCACTCCATCATGCATCTTGATCTTGATATCACCTAGCCCTACCATTTTACAAGCATGGTTGTTCCCCATCAGAACGATTCCACCATCAATGCTCCTGTAGGTAGTAAACCACTTCCTATTTGGACACATATGGTAAGAGCAACCAGAATCAAGAATCCACTTCCCGGAGGTATCCTCGCCACCCGTGACGACATAGCATTCCTTATCG